TTTTTTTTTTTTTGCCAGTATTGGGGCTTGAACTCAGGGCCTGGACACTGTCCCTGAGCTTCTTCATGCTCAAGGCTAGTGCTCTACCACTTGAGCTACAGACCACATTTGGCTTTTTCTGACTAGTTTATTGGAGATAAGGGTCTCACTGACCTTCCAGGCTGGCCTTGACCCTGAGCCTCAAATCTTAGCCTCCAGAATAGCTAGGATTACAGGTGAGCCACCAAAGCCTGGCTTAGGAGAGAATTTTTTTTTTGGGGGGGGGGTTCGGTCGTGGAGCCTGAACTCTGGGCCTGGGTGCTGTCCCTCAGCTCTTCAGCTCAAGGCTAGTGCTCTACCATTTGAGCCACAGCGCCACTTCTGGCTTTTTTCTTTTTGCTTATGTGGTGCTGAGGAATCGAACCCAGGGCCTCAGGCATGCAAAGCAAGCGCTCTACCACTGAGCCAACTTCCCAGCCCTAGAAGAGAATTTTTCAGTGGGTAATTTATATATAATTTTCACCACTGGGTTTTGGTTCCTTTTCCATAATAGGCTTTGGTAGACTTGTGGCTTGGCATGGTTTCCCTAGTGATTACTGAGTTAGCATTTATTTTGAAGAATCCTTTTTGTGTTCAATATGTCTTTTTTTTTTTAAAGGTTGGATCTTCAATCATCCTTATTCAAAATGGGAAATTCTACAATGGAAGACACTCCTCAGTACTGCTGTGAAGAGACTACAAGTAGCCATAATTCAAATGTAGGAAGTTCTCTACAGTCTTTACAACCATATACTCCTTCCTCTTTCCCCACCCCTGCAAGTATTTGAACTCAAAACCCTTTACTTGCTCAGCTTTGCATGCTTGGCTGATACTCTACATTCTCCAGCCAATTTTTCTGGTTATTTTGGAGCTGGAGTCTCAGAGACTTTTCTGCCCAAGCTGGCTTTGAACCTCAGTGATCTGATCTCAGCCTTTTGAGTAGCTAGGATTACATATGTGAGCCATCAGCACCCTTTTATAACCATGTGCTTTGATGAAGCATATGATGTGGTAGGTGAGAATGGATGTAGAGTGTGCATGTAGTACTTTTACTAAATCAACTCATCTGCCTATTATGCTTATAATGTGAAAAACTAATGTGCATGTATGAGTGCGTGTGCATGCACACGTGTGCGTGCACACGTGTGCGCAAATACACACACACACTTTTCTCTTCCTGTTAACAATGGGAAATTCACTGTGAGAAATTATCAGGAGGAATTATCAGCCTTGGCAGGTGACAGGATTATACACCAGAATATTGGAAGCAAAGAGGGATGAATACATAAAACAGAAGAGAAGGAGAGAAAAGGAAAAGAAAAAATGGGGGAGGGGGCAGGGAAGATGGCTCAGTGGTAGAGTGCTTGCCTTAAATGCATGAGGCCCTGGGTTCGATTCCTCAGCACCACATAAGCAGAAAAAGCTGGAAGTGGTGCTGTGGCTCAAATGGTAGAGTGCTAGCCTTGAGCTGAAGAGCTGAGGGACAGGGGCCAGGCCTAGATTTCAGACCCCACAATCAACAAAATAAAAAGAAAGGCAAAGCAGCTGAAAGCCTAAAGGTCTCAGCAACTTACCAATCAACACAGGATAAATCAAAACAATTATATGGCTTTGATAATAGTAGGAACCATTGACAAAGTACTGAGTGCTAGATGGTGGGCCTGATGCCTTTCCTCATAGAAGCCACATGGGAAGGATGTGATTATCATGTTCATTTTGTGATGAGAAAATGAGCATACTATAAAATGTAGCATACTATAAAATGTTTACAATCATGCAGCTACAAAAGGCAAAGCACAACCCAAAAGGAACACAACCCAGACTTATCTGACTCTAAAAGTCAATTTATTACCCACCATAACTTGTTTCTGTTGTTTTTTACCTAACTTCCAATATGGAATAACTATGTTGTTTTTAGAGGTGTATTTTACATACTCAGTTTTGTTTTTGTTTTTAATTTATAAATGTCAAAGAAGGGCCTGGTGGCTTATGCCTTTAATCTCACCTACTTGGGAGACAGATCAGGAGGGTGACAATTTGAAACCATCCCAGACAAATAATTTAGGGACATTTCAACTCAACAAAGAAGCTGGGTATCGTGTTACACACCTATAATCATGTATTTATTTATTATTCTCATAGGAGAATTCAGTTTAGGCTAACTTAGGCATAAATATACGACCTTGTCTGAAAAATAACTGTAGTAAAATGGTCTGGTTAGTGTCACTCAAGTGGTAAAGTGTCTGCCTAGCAAGCACAAAACCCTGAGTTCAAAAAAAATCCCAGTGTTATAAAAAAATTTGAACCATTTTCCTGTTGCTGAACATTTACATTTGTACAACTGTCTTAAACATATGTGTGTGTGTGTGTGTATGTATACACACACACATATATATATATATACACATATATATAGCTAGATTACTAGAATTTTAGTGGAATTTGCTAAGAAGTACATGAACATTTTTAAGGCTCTAGAGATGTACTGCCAATTTTCTCTTCATTGAAACTAGGCCAACTAACTCTGGCATTTTGTAAGTGGGCCCATCTCACCATTATTCTTAGCATTAAATGGAGTTATTATATTTAACTTTGAAAAATTGATAGAAAAAAGTTACTTGGTTGAGCTGTGCATAGGTAGGTAGCTCATAATTGTTCTAAGTAGTTGGAAGCTGAGAATGGCGGGATCAAGGTTCAAGACCGACCTGTGCAGAAAAGTTTGCAAGACCCCTTCTCAATCCATAACTGGGCACAGTGGAACTCACCTGTCATTGTACCTTTGTGGAAGGCTGAAATAGAATTGAGGTTCCCGCCCAGTCCTGGGCAGAAAAGTCAGAGAAATTCTGTCTTAAGAGAAGCTGGGTATGGAGGTTTGTACATTTCATTCTATTTATATTGTGAAGCTTGAAACAAGCATGCTGTAATCCAGGTGAGCATCTGGGCAGGAAGTGAGAACCTATCTTGAATATAACCTACACAAAAACATGCTACTGCTCTTGCCTAGCAAGCACAGCGCCCTGAAGTTAAAACGTAGTACCACAAAAAAAAAAAAAGAAAAAAAATAAGACTTGTTGAGTATCAATTTCTTTGCTAATTGGAGGAAGTTTTTGTTTGTTTGATTTTTTTTTTTTGATGCTGCACTTTGAAATCAGGGCCTGAGCACTGTTCCTGAGCTTCTTTTGTTCAAGGCTAATGCTCTAACACTTGAGCTGCAGTGCCACTTCCAGCAGTTTTTGGTGGTTAATTGATGATAAAAATCTCATGGACTTTTCTGCACAGGTTGGAAACAAAACCATAATCCTCAGATCTCAGCCTCCTAAGTAGATTGGATTACAGGTGAGGAGGTTCATTTTTGAGTTTTTCTTTATCTATTAAAAATTTTCTACTATGGACCAGGTAGTCCTAATTTCTACTACCTCGTACATTTTACTGCTTTATTTCTACTAAAGATAAGAATTTTTTGTTATTTTATGGCAAATATTCAATTGCTTCTTAACATGTAGATGGTTTAACTTTTTATTTTTGTACAGCTGTCAGTTTTGTTTTAAGAATTTTCCTGTTGTTTCATAATTAGAGAAATATGTCATTGTTTTGAGATGAGATAGATCTACCCTATTTTTTTTTACCCTACTTTTAATTTCTTTTTTTTTTGTCTGTGATGGGCCTTGAACTCTGAGCCTGAGCACTGTCCCTCAGCTCTTCAGCTCAAGGAGACTGCTCTATCACTTGAGCCACTGCTCCAATCCAGTTTTCTGGTGGTTAATTGGAGATAAAAGTCTCACAGACCTTCCTGTGTGGGCTTGTTGGAACCACGATCCTCAGCTCTCAACCTCCTAAGTAGCTAGGATTATAGGCCTGAGCCACTGGCACCCAGCTTTTGATTTCATTTTTATTCTTTTTTCTATATTTAACGGAGAATTGTGTATGATATGAAATAAGTTGTTTTTTTCTGTTGTTGTTTGTTTTTCGGTCGTGGGGCTTGAACTCTGAGCCTGGGCACTGTCCCTCAGCTCTTCAGCTCAAGGCGAGTGCTCTACCACTTGAGCCACAGTGCTACTTCTGTTTTTTTCTGGTGGTTTATTGGAGATAAGAGTCTCATGGACCTTCCTGTGTGGGCTGGCTTTCAACTGTGATCCTCAGATCTCAGTCTCCTGAGTATCTAGGATTACTGGCGTGAGCCCATTGGCGCCCGGCTATGAAATAAGTTTTATTCTTCCTTTTCCAATGATAACAATTGCCAATAGTGCCAATATGGAGTGTCAACAACTATAGCTACAGTTTATAAAGTAAAATGAACACACCTCTAGATGTTGGGTGTTGTGTTTTGGAATTTATTTATTTTTAGATTAGAGAGCTACTAAGTAGGAGAACTACTATATTAGCTGTAGGATATCTGTTCCCAACGCCTGTGCAGTTAGCCACAAAACTTTATTATCTCCAGAGTCATTTACTCTGTTACCAATAATTTGAGTTCTCAGCTTCATCATATTTCACTCTTGTGCAGATTGTCTTTAGTTGTTTTAATTATTAAGATTATATAAAGGAGAGAGGCACTCAGATCATAATGATAGAAAAAGGGCCTTGAAGCCCAACTGATTAAACTAAAATCCCAGCTCTGTCAACTGACTTAATTTCCTTGAGCCTCTCTTTTCTCTTCTATAAAATGGTGATAATAATAGTAGCTACCATTTAGAGTTATTATAAAGATCCCTAACACAAGTACCATCTAATAAATGTTAGTTATTACTATCTTAATATCTGTACAACAACTTCAGTCTGGCTACTCTTTATATATTGAAAGCACCTTAGCCATTTTCACTGGTTTATTCTTCCAAGTGATTTTGAAACTAGTTTTTCAAGTTTAAAGGCTCCAAAGTAACAAAAAAAGTAGCATATTTTAATGAAAAGAAAACCAGACTTCCAAGGAAATGTGTGTGGGTTTTCTGGATTTTCTACTTGGTTTTACTGTGAGCCTAAACTCTTTAGGAAAAAATAAGATCTCTTGATTTTCTCTGAAAGAAAAAAATCATCAAAGTTGGAGCCAGAACACTAAGGACATTAGTCAATGGGTGTGGGGCTTGTGTAAGTCATGCCTTGGCCTCTCCAAACCGCATGCTGTTAAGGGATAATAGCACGTCTTCTGTTTGCCATAGTAGGCTGTTGTAAACCTGAAATCAGCACACTATCCATAAAGTGTTCCATAGAAACTAAAGGACTGGGGGCTGGGAAGGTGGCTCAGTAGTGGTAGAGCGCTTGCCTTGCCTGCCTGAGGCCCTGGGTTCGATTCCTCAGCACCACATAAGCAAAAAGAAAAAAGTCGGAAGTGATGCTGTGGCTCAAGTGGTACAGCACTAGCCTTTTGCTGAAGAGCTGAGGGACAGCGCCCAGGTCCAGAGTTCAGGTCCCACGACCGGACCAAAAAAAAAAAAAAAGAAAGAAAGAAACTAAAGGACTAAGTTTGCAAAAGAAATTTAAAAAAAAAAATAGGGGCTGGGAAGGTGTCTCAGTGGTAGAGTGCTTGCCTTGCATGCATGAGGCAGAAAAAATAAAAGCCAGAAGTGGTGCTGTGGCTCAAGGGGTAGAGTGCTCGCCTTGAGCCGAAGAGCGCAGGGACAGTGCCCAAGCCCCATGACCAACCTAAATAAATAAATAAATAAATAACACACGCAGCCAGATCTGAGGGGGCACACCTGCAATCCCAGCACTCAGAAGGAGGAGGCAGGAGGATTTCTAGTTTGAGCCAGCCTGGGTGATATAGAGACATTAGAGAGATTCTCTCCTTCCCCCTCTACCCTTGACACACAGAAAAGAAGGAAGATTAGCTGGAAGGATGGCTCAAGTAGTAGAGTATCAGCAAACACAAGACTGAGTTCAATCACTAGTACTGCCAAAAAAAGAAAAAAGGAAAGGAAAAGAGGGAACGATAGAGAAAGGAAGGGAGGTAGAGAAAGAAAAGAAAGGGAAGGAAGGAATTAAGAGAGAGAAAGAAAAAGAAGGAAGGAAGGAAGGACAAAGAAGGGAGAGAGGGAGGGAAAAGGAAATGTGAGAAAAGGAAGAAGGAAGGAGGAGGAGAGGGAAGAAAGGGAGGAAGGAAGGATGGAAAAAGAACATATGCAGCTTTACAGTATGTGATTACAAATACTTCTGTAAGAAAAACAGCTAAATTCCAACATTCCCTCGGTTTCTGACATTCAAGATACCTTTGAGACTAATGAATGCTTGTTGGAAGGAAATGTGCTTACTTGTACACAAAACTTTCAACTTTCTTATCCTGCCACATATTTTCAAAACAGAATAATATAGAAGTTTAATGTCATCAGACCTATGGAAACAAGAAAAAAGACAGAATCTTCTGTAACCCGAGTGTACAGGGGAATTAACTATGTATTTATCATAGAAAGTCTGGTCTGATAAAATGTTCCAGACTAGATCCAAGATGCCTCTTAAAGTAGTGCACTTTCCAGACAGTGTTATTCCTTCTTCTTTTCTTCTTTCTCTTTCTTCCTTCCTTCCTTTCCTTCCCTTCCTTCCTTCCTTCTTTCTCCTCTTCTCTTGTTTTTAAAAAATTTTTAAATTTAATTTTATTTTTACTGGTTCTGGAACTTGAACTCGGCCTGGGTGCTGTCCATGAGCATCTTTTGCTCAAGGATAGTGCTCTACCACTTGAGCCGCAGTACCACTCCTGGCTTTTTTTGTGATTAATTAGAGATAAGAGTCTCATAGACTTTCCTGTCTGGGCTGGCTTTGATCCACAATTCTCAGATCTCAGATTCCTGAGTAGCTAGATTTACAGGCATGAGCCACCAGTGCCTGGCTTTTTAAAAAATCTGAGACCTGGACTCAAACTTAGTATCTCACACTTCAGCTCATTCACTAACACTGTATCACCTCAGTCATGCTTTCCAGGAGTATTTATAGAGTGCATACTATTACTGGGGTCTATGCACAAAAGTTTCTGTGTGGTTTTCAGAGAATTCTTACATTTTATAAGGTACTATGATTGTCAGTCATGGTAATACCACAAAAGCCACTGAATCATGAGCCAAATATGACCAAGGAATTAGCCATGTCTTGAATTCTTTTCTTTTGAACAGAAAATCAGAAGAAGCTAAGCTTAAAAGAGAAGGATTCAACAAACAACTGATTTTGCGCCATTATAACGACCCAGAACAGGAGGAGATCAGAAGTTCCCCTCAAACTTCTCAAAGCTTCTGGCTGGAGCTGCTAGAGAAGAAGCCTCAGATGCCTACTGTCAGAGAGGCTGACCCAGAAAAGAAGAAATTCCACTATGCCCTGGTAGATGGCTCCTCTCTGATCTAATATCCTTGTCAAACTCCGTAGGTGAAGTTGAAGGTGGCAGAATGTGGAGGATAGGGCTGACAAACAGAGGTTTCTATCCCACAGAAGGCAAATCCCAGGAAGCATCCTTGGGTGTTGTTTGGTCATTTCCTCCTAAGTATTCCCTCATGCTAAAGTCATGAGGTATTCCCGCATGCTAAAGTCAACCTGAAAACTAATTAGAGAAAGTCCCCTCTTTCAAAACTTTCCTTCTTCCTCAGTCCTTGACTGTTTCATTAAGAGCCTGAGAAAATGAATTCTCTTTGGTTCACTTTTCTGATTATGTAAGAGAACATAGGATTTAGCATGTAAAGAACCTAGTTTAGGAGTTGGAGTCATGACTCAGGTGGTAAAGTGACAGCCCATATGTGAAAGCATGTGTCAGATAACAAGTTTGAGCCCTGATCTCAAATAACAACAACAAACAAAAAACAACAATAAACAAACCTACTTTAGGGAGAAGGAGTAATTCATTCCTACATATCCAAAATGGAAGTTTTGTATTAACACTTAATAAAGTTGATGTTTAATTGTGTGTTAAATGTTGATTTGTATATGGTGTAAGATTATTTCCAGATCCATAATTATTCCTCAGCCCTCTTCGGCCCCCCATCTATTTCTAGATATTGGTAGAGAGGTCTGACCCTACTGCTCTGTGTTGGCTAATGTCATAGACAGGTAGCAACAGGCAGCTTTGGTTTCCAGTGATTATCAAGATCAATCTGATAAAAGACTGTTATTCACAGATTTGTTTAAAATAATCTGGAACTAATGTGAGGGTACAGGATTGTGAATTGGTGTGGCGATCATGCAACCTAGAGTTAGAAAGCTGTGTGCTAGTCTAACCCTACCATCATCATACTCAATGACTATGGAAGAGAGTCTCTTTCTCTGGATCTGCTGCCCTATCTGTAAAGAGTTGATTAACAATAGGAGAGAGAAAGTACATCTTTCTATAGAATAATAATCATTAGTATTATTGTTGTCAATGCCAGTTCCTTAACTTGGGTTTACCTATCCATCTGGCCGCCTAGCTGTCTGCCAAAGCTATTCTGATCTCCCTTGGGGTGGTATGTCCACCAACATATTCAGTGACTTACCAGATTCTGTTATCTTGGGAACCTTTACACCTTCTGGATGTGGTAGTATTTCCTTTCCTAACAGGTATGTGAGATTCCATAAAAACTACAATTCATAGATAAGCAAAGTGATGAGGGAAAAGTAAAATACTAACAAAAACAAGCACACGAAAGGAATCTTGCATCAATCTAAATGGAAAAGAAGGTAAGAAAAAAATTTTTTTAATGTGTATTCAAAGCTATGACTTGCAGATTGGTACTGGCCAAATATCTATAACTCTCAGTTCAGTTGTGCCATCTTTGTGGGAAGATGAGCAGATGGATGTCAAGGACCCAAGTTATCACAGGCTAGGAACAGAAGCAAGGAGATGGTTTTGCTGAATCAGGTGTCATCTTGGCATCTGTGCCTTCTTCTTTTTTTTTTTTTTTGGTAGGTCATGGGGCTTGAACTCTGGGCCTGGGTGCTGTCCCTCAGCTCTTCAGCTCAAGGCTAGTGCTCTACCATTTGAACTACAGTGCCACTTTCAGTTTTCTGGTGGTTTATTGGAGATAAAGAGTTTCACAGACTTCCCTGCCCAGGCTGCCTTTGAACCATGATCCTTAGATCTTAGCCTCCTGAGTTGCTAGGATTACAGATATGAGCCACCAGCACCTGGCCTCTGTGCCTTTTAAGGACTACTTAACTGGTAATGCAAAGCTCACATCTTCCTCATGTTTTCTGTGATGTTCTTCGGATTTATGATCTTGGGATTTCCTCTGTTTTTGCCATCCTGCCTTCTTGGAATCTTGTTTTCCATTCTGTCTTAAATCTGCGGGTTCATTTTGGTTCTCATTTGATTTCAATTAATGAGAATTTGTTCCTTTCCATACTTTTAACACATAGAAACCATTCACCAGAGACGTCAGTGAACTGCATTCTCAATGATGTTGGTTATGAAGAATTAGAACAGTAATAAAAACAACATATACAGAATGTAAGCTATGCTGAATGTTCTTAAAAGTGTATTAGTATGTTGTCAATGTCAGTTCCTTAACTTGAATTTACCTATCCATCTGGCTGCCTAGCTATCTGCCAAAGCTATTCTTACTGTTCTAAAATATTGTCTAGTATTTCACATTTCCCTTTTTTCTACATTTCTTCCTCTCAGTCCACACCTCTCTTCAAATAGTTTCCAATTTCTTATTGAACATAAATCCATCTCTTGATAGTTATACAAGCTAACTAGCTAAATTATACCTAGCTAGCTTCTCTAAGGTTGGGGTAGGGGTTGAGGAAAAAAATCAAGGAAGACAGGATGGTATGCCTTCAGCCAAACCATTAATTTGCCATGCTATATTTGATTACCCACACATTTCACTCTTTCCTTTAGTAAATGTTTGAGTACTTATTCCATTCTAGACAATTATAATAGAGAGTACTATGAGGTATGGTTCCTATTTATCAGGAACTGTGTTATAGGACAACTTAAAAGACAAAAAAAATCAGAAATGTTGAAATACAAAGTGATCTGTACAAGATTTTGCATCCATTGGTTCAAAATCTTCATAGAGTGCCTAATAGTATGGGCACTGTGTGAGCATCATATATATGGTAGATAACCAAACAAAGTTCCTGTCCTTGTAATAACTTACATATCAGGGATAGAAGACCAAGTAAACAAGTTTATACTATATCATGTGAAAGGCTTTCAGTGGAATAAGTCATCATGTGTATAAATTCACCCTCCATAATTGCTGAATTTGACTTTCTTGAATGATTTTCAATCCCATATCTTTATAGCTTCTGTATTTTTACTTGATGTGGCTTCAGGATGATGGGTGCTGAGAGTCAGTTCATGCAGAGAGCAAGAATCTTTTTTTCTTAGCGAGTTTATAAATATACATTGATGTGTTTCTGCTGCATTCAGCATTTCCTGCATGCTGACCATGCTTCTGTGAAAGTTCCTTCCCACCCCCCACCCCCACTGTTTGTAAGCCAAGTCACCTGTCAAAATGTGTCAGCACCTCACCTGTGAAGAGAGCAAGTCAGCAAAATGTTAAAAAAAAAAAAGAGTGCTTGATTCCAAAGAGAAAAACAAGAGAATGAGAGGAAAGGGAGAAAGAGAGAGTAATGCTTAATTACAGAGAGAGAGAGAGAGGGGAGAGAGAGATTAATAAGGTAGCAAAACAACTGGGTGAACCACATGTAAGTACCTGCCCTCAGTGTGGAAATAATTTTCCCATCTTTGATGCTCAGATGAAACAATGACAGGATCTGGAATCATTTCAAAGGCTTAGAAACTACTTACTTTTAAAAGGTCTTTTTGTTTTCCAACCACACTAAGCAGTTTTGAAAGAAAAATTAGGCAACTTGATATAACTTTATGACATGTTAATTGAACATTTTATTCAGGAATGCTGAAGACAAAGTGGAAAAGTAATCGTTTCCCTAAGAACAAATATATTTCATTTGATTTTCCAAGTATTGTTAAAATTAGTTCTTTGTGAACACAATTTCTGTGAGATTGATCAAAATATCTAATACTGATTAATTGCTAGTATCATTTGAGAGAGAATGCTTACATTTTGTTTAAATTTACAAGAAATTCTGTGATTAGGTATAATTTCCAATGAGGAAACTGAATCTCAGAGAAGAGCCTTGAAACTGTATCTGAAGGCTACGTAGTAGCAAAGAACATTGAAAGCTTTTAGTCCCTGATTCCAATTCTTTTTCCCTTGCTAACTCTTAATACATGAGGGAAAGAGAGGTCTAGTGCCGAGTACATATAAGCTGAGTAATAATGAGTCATGGTGATAATAATGTGATTATGAGCGTGGGTTTTGGCGTTAGACAACTTACGTATCTGACTGTTGGCTGGAACAACAGGGAAAATGTGCCAAGTGTCTTGCAGTCTGCCTCCAGGCTGCTCCCCATGGTGGATGGATTTGAAAAGTAGCAAGAGTGAAGATGAACCCAGTTCATAAGCACTTTTCAAGCCTTCTATAGTACCAAGTTTTCTAGTAAGTCTTGGCTCAGGTAACATAACTCAGTGGTTAGAAAAACAGATACCTAGTCTTCTTGAAAGATGCTGGAAAATATTACAGACTTTTCATATCTTTAATCAACTGCAAAGGAAACACCAAATTCAAATTAGTTGCCCCCTTTCCTCCTCTGTATTTACCACCTCTAATTCTATTTTGATTCATGAACCATACATGGACTTTGAAAAGGATAAATACATAGAAGATGGATGATTAGGCTAGGGTTAGTCTATTAATCAAAACTATTTCAAAACTATTGATGAAAACTTGTAAGGATCAGTTATCTTCTTTCTCCTGGTTCTGGCCCAGATATTTTAAAATTCTCATTTGGAATTCTCATATTCTGACTTGTTTCTTCAGTGTGTACTGGTATATCTGGATCAGCCACTTCCTTGTATCTCAAATCTCAGTTCTAGCACCTGTAACCACTCACAAAATTTAGCTACTCTGAAATCCATATATTTTTGTCTTAATCCGCTTTCGATTGCTAAAACAGAAGAACTGGAACTAGGTACATGGCTCAGGATTCTGGAGACTGAGATGTCCAAGATCAGATGGCTGCATCAAGTGAGGTCCTTATGCTGCTTCAACTTGTGGCAGAAAGCAGAAGAGCAAGTGAGCATGTGCAAAAGAGACAAAACATAGTGTGGCCTTACTGATGTAACTGGCCTTAGGGTAACTAATCTAGTCCCTGAAAATGAGAACTCACTCTTGGAATAAAGACATTAATGTAATTATTTCCTTCTGGCCTCCATCTCCCACACTTTCACATTGAGGAATTAAGAAGGTGGCTGGGAAGGTGGCTCAGTGGTAGAGTGCTTGCCTTGCTCCTTGAGGCCCTGGTTTGATTCCTCAACACCACATAAGCAGAAAAAAAGCTGGAAGTGATGCTGTGGCTCAAGAGGTAGAGCACTAGCCTTAAGCTGAAGAGCCCAGGGACAGCTCCTAGGCCCAGAGTTCCAGCCCCACAACTGACCAAAAAAAGAAAAAAAAAAGAAAAAGAAGAATGCAATGCACTAGTTTTGAGGGACCCACTCAAATCTTACCAACTGCTTAAAAGATACCTAATTCTGACTGGTATTATAGAGGGAGGATCCCACACATTCAGAACTTTCTGGAGATGAGAATTCTTCATGTGTTTGCTACAATGTCTGTTTATTAGAAATTGGTCTTTGTAATGATGGTAGGAATAATTTAATGGATTTCCTCAGTTATAGGCTAAATGTTGTTTTATTAAATATGTCTCCCTCTTAAAACTGGATGATGATGCTTTTCTCCACAGGCAAGTTTGTAGCATAGAATTTGGGGTTAACAGCTCTCCACTTGTCACATCCATGTGTTTTACTATTAAATCCTTTATGCTACCTTCCATATGAATTATAGTATAGTAATAGTTTGTATCAACATGGAACTTGGTGACTGAGAATTTTAGAAGGTCCTGCCTGTTCTGGCACCTTTCCCCCTTCATTTCTTATGACTCACCCTTTGTGTTTGGCTTCCATCTTTATAACCACTATGTACAAGTTATTCTTGTAACTGAAAGCTCATATCCGGACTCTTCACATGACTGCTTTCTTTTCATCTTTTAGGTCTCAGTTTAAATGTCACTTCCCTGGAGAAATTTTTCCTACTTTCCTTTTTTAATTTTAAACAGCTTTATTGAGATGTACATTTCATAAAATTCAGCCACTTAAAGAATACAGCTTAATGTGTTTTTTAAGCATTTGACAGAATTGAGAATATTTGCAGCATCCTAAAAGGGAACTGTGTACAAAACAGCAGTCACTCACTAATCCCCACCTCTACCCAATACTTCACCTTCTCCTTCTAGAGATTTACCTATTCAGGTTTCTCTTTCCTAAGATTTTTTGGGCTCTGTTCATTAAAGATTTGTCCATTCTGCACATTTAATATAAGTAGAATCATCTTTTGTGACTAGCCTGTTACTTAGCATAATGGTTTCAGAATTCTTCTGTGTTATACCAACTGTCAGTATTTAATTTCTTTCTTTCTTCTTTTTTTTTTTTTCTGTTGGTCCTAGAGCTTGAACTAAAGGCCTGGGTGCTATCCATGAGCTTTTTCACCCAAAGCTAGTACTCTACCACTTTGAACCACAGCTCCAGTTTTCCAGTTTTCTGGTGGTTGATTGGAGTGTCATGGACTTTCCTGACTGGGCTGGCTTTGAACCACAATCCTCAGATCCCAGTCTCCTGAGTAGCTAGGATTATAGGTGTGAACCACTGGTGCCTGATCAGCAACTTGTCTGGTTAATTGGAGATGGGGGTCTCAAGAATTTTTTTTTGCCAGGCTGGTTTCCAGCTGTGATCTTCAGATCTCAGTCTTCATGAAACCAATGGGGAATTATAAGATTTCCTTTGTTCCTCCAAGGTGGTGGTTTTGCTCATTTTTCCCCTGACTTCTTTGGTAATAGTAATGAAGCAGATAACTGTTTCATCATCAGAATAAACTATCATGGGACTGAAAATGTCTGAGTGCCAAGACAGCGCCTCCTTCCAGACATCCTTGGAGTACTTAAACAGTCTCTAATAACTACCCACTGTATTTTTATTTATATTTTTGTCTCCACAATTTTTTTTGGGGGGGTCCAGTCTTGGGGCTTGTACTCTGGGCCTGGGCGCTGTCCCTCAGCTCTTCAGCTCAAGGCTAGCGCTCTACCACTTGAGCCACAGCACCACTTCTGGCTTTATGTGGTGCTGAGGAATTGAACCCAGGGCCTCAGGCATGCAAGGCAAGCACTCTACCACTGAGCCACCTTCCCAGCCCCAGGACTCATTTTTATGACCTTATACATGGCAGTGATGAAGTGGGAAAGGTTATGCCTCTGAGAAGGGAATCTTGGCCAGCTGAACGAGTAAACACCATTCTTCCCTCCCAGGAAGATATTAGGACAGAAGCAGAATGGCTATCCTCCAGGAATATAATTTAAGAGATTCCTGGGCTCTTAAAGGCTACGTCTTGGTAATTTTCATCATCCCAGCCAAATCAATAAACCCTGAATTTTTCATGTGCTAAAAAAGACTCATTTCTGTCCTTTTCATAGGAAAATAATAGCAATGATGTTTAATCAGAATGGAGGCATGGTGATCAGCAGAAAAGGACACATCATGAGAGAGTGGACGTGGCCTTCAAAGGGAAAACTTGAAGATCCAGTTGAAGTTGGGGTATAATTTTACAATTTATCACTCTTGGACTACTTCTTACATTGTGATGACAATTTACTTTGAGTTTCTAAAATGCACTATTATGGGAAAATATGAGACTGAATTACCCAGTATGGGCTATCTGTCTAGAGCTGATGTGATGAATTTTTATTTTGGCCTTTTTTAATGACTTTGACTTTACTCAGCAGCAGTTGGTTTAAACAGCAATTAAAAAATTATTAGAAAAGTTTTTCAGACTTTGATATAAAAATAATTTTAATGTAGCAAAGTGTACTATTCTATAAAGGATTAATTATTATAACCTCAGAGAGTGTAGAGTGACCTTGCAGGGTGCACCTGTGCCAAACTGGAAAGTGTAGCATTCGAAGGAAGCAGACTTATTAGAGGGCCAGAAGACATGTGACAAGGGACTATGTGCCTAATGTTGCTATATTTATTATAAAAGAAAAAATCAGAATTTCAGATTTTTTAAAATATCCTGCTATTTGAAAAATTGGAAACAATTGAAACTTTGAGACAACTAAAGCGAACTAACTAGATGCCTTTGAGCTGTCAGTCTGTAATGTCTGTGCTTTTTGGTCAATGTATAGTTACTGTGTATGTGTATGTGTGCACATGTGCATGTGTGTGTGCATGTGTGTGTGTTTTATGTGTGTATACAAAATGAGCTACAATAATCTAGGGCATGAGGTCTGGTTGTGTAGATGATTCAATGAACAATCAGCCTTCAGGGCATCATCTATGCAAAACTGATGTCTATTATGACAGCTACCAACTACTCTTGTTACTGACCCTTGAAATACGTCATAAAATGCAAACCAAATTTCCAAGGCTTAGAAAAACAGAATATGAAATATCTTAATAATTTTATGTGTATTACATGTTGAAAAGGTATTTAGATATATTTACTTGTGAAATATGTTATTAAAGTTTTCTTGTTTTTTGTTCTTCCTAATGGGTCTACTATTAGAAAAATTTAAGATTACATGACTCAGATTTGTGACTTGCCTAATATCTCTATACTAGGAAGTGTCATTATCAATTTTTATGGAGATCAACATCTAGGTCTTTTTCTTACAATTTACCCAATCTTTTTAGTGGTCATATGCCCTATATATATTTCTCTTTTTACTTGTCTGTTCTCTTTCTTTCTTCCTTTCTTTCCCTCTCTGCCCCTTTTTCTTCCTTCTTTCCTCCCTTGCCTTCCCTTCCTTCTGTTCTTCTTTCCTTCCCTCCCTCCCTTCTTTCCTTTCTTCTCTCTCTTCTTCCTTCATCCTTTCCTTCCTGCCTGCCTGCCTTCTCTGTGTAGTCCTGGATCACCATCCTCAAATTGGCCACCCTCCTGCTTTAGCCTCCTGAATGCTTGCAATATTTTTTAAGTACTGTTCAGTCTGGAGGGAGAGAAGAGTAAAGTGTTGGTAAGAAACAGTGCCAGGAAAGGTTCTTTATGAAAATTTCCTTACATTCTGAAGTCAGAATTTCCTCAGTCCTCATAGCTCCCTAGCAAAGTCAGAATTGCTAGTAGAGTACATTGTATTCAGATACTTTCAGCCAGTACCTTGAAGAAGCAAAGGAAGGTAACTTGTACCTAAAACAAAAGTCCTTATAGGCTCCAAGCAGCTAGTATGTTATATTAGGATACTTTATCTTCAGGAAATTTCCCTCTCCCTTCCTTCCTTCCTTTCCTTTGCTTTCCTTCCTTCCTTCCCTTTCCTCTCTCTCCCTCCCTCTTCCTTCCTTCCTTGTTATATTAGGATACTTTATCTTCAGGAAATTCCCCCCTCCCTTCCTTCCTTCCTTTCCTTTGCTTTCCTTCCTTCCTTCCCTTTCCTCTCTCTCCCTCCCTCTCCCTGTCTCTCTCCCTCCCTCCTTCCCTCTCTCTCTTTCCCCCCTCCCTTCTTTCTCCTTTTCATGTATAGCAAGGGATATAATACTGGATCCTTGGGGGGGGGAAGGGGGGTTAGGGGAGGGTGGGGGGGTGGGATATGGGAAGGGATAGGAAGGGGAAACAAAGGAGGAAGCAATAATGCTTGATAAGAAATGTACTCATTATCTTGCCCATGTAATTGTAACTCCTCTGTACCGTATTTTCATAATAAAAATTAAAAAAAATACTGGATCCTTGAAAATATTAGGCAAGCACTCTACCACTGAACTACAAACCCCCAACCCTTTAGAAATGTTTTTTTTTTAAATCAGTCCTGGGGCTTGAACTCAGGGCCTGGACGCTGTCCCTGACCTCTTTTGCTCAAGGCTAGTGCTCTACCACTTTGGCCACAGCACTACTTCCGCTTTTGCAGTAGTTAATAGGAAATCAGTCTCATGGGAACTTTTCTGCCTGGGTTGGCTTTGAACTGTGATCCTCAGATCTCAGCCTCCTGAGTAGCCAGGATAACAGGTGTGAGCCACTGGCATCCGGTGCCACTGGCACCTGGGAGGAATCATTTTTTTTTTGCGGGGGG